TTCAATTTGGTTTTTTAGAAATTTTAGGTATTATACCTTGATTCGGAGTTCTGCCAAATAGTGAGGATTTTAAAAATATTATGAAGTGGTTAGGAGAAGAAACTAATAATGATGGTGAAGTGTTGCCAAATAAGCTAAGCATGCGAATAGATGTTTATAAGGTAATTGAGGATCTAAATATAATAGAAATCCCCACACATTTGTATGATAAGGAAATTATGTTATACTGCACCATACCATCAAAGAGAATAACATAATTGACGAGCTTCCGCATGAATAGTTAGTAGGTAAGCAAAGCTTACACAGTTGAAGAATAATAGGTGAGGTAAAGCTACAAAGAAGAGATGAATGAAGTAGACTTAAAGATAGAGTTCCCAATAGAAGTGGGGTCTAAACTACAAGGTAATTGCCTCAGAAGCATCAAAGAGGATGAATTGGACCATTATCAACAAGAATGTGTAGTGCATGAACTCAGTATCCTAGACACTAGCACTGGTTAAAAAATCCTTAATATAGAGCAACACTGAGTTGGGAGTAAGCAATAGTTTATTGATATGGCCTCCACTCATCCAGTGGTAACCACCAAATATGGCATTATTATTTTAGATAAGACCCTTGATGTTATCTTCAGTGATGAATCTTACCTTACACCTATCATTCTCGATAGAAGAACCAATTTTCGTTTTCAAAATTTGAATGGGTGTTTCCCCAATATCTTGCTGACATGAAGTTTGCCCAATAGGATTGAGCTATGAAAGTTTCATCATAATTTGAGGTTTGTTTTAGAGAAGAAGTCACTGAGTCTTTTTAATCCAAGATCAATAAGAAAGTGTAGTTTGCAAATCTTATCCCGAGCTTTCCAATATAGTTTGGCTTTTATGATTAGAGGACTCTTAGAAGAAGCACACAAATAAAGAACCAGGTGCTTAAGTACTACCTTATGGGAAGAACATGCTCAGTAGATAAACAAGGGTGCTGCTAAGAGCATAGTAAGAATGATTCTACCCATTTAAAATAGAATTTTTACTTACTAGCCATCAATGCATTTCTACACATTGGAAAGAAATTCATTAAGAAGATGAAAGCAAGTTCAATTGTGTATTATGGGAACTACTAAATATCAATGTCGATTTGTCAGATAAAATGGAATCTGCTACATCCCTTGCTTTTAATGAACTCTTATCAATTGAAGTCAGATAGCACAAATTAGGAGGACCAATCTGCAACATTAGGTATTTATGTTATATAGCTTAAAAAATTCACTTGGTGCCATGATTCAATAAACATTTTTTAATCAGTAAAATATTGAGTTCTTACCACAGTATTATAATGTAAATATGCAATCCAACAATGGGTACATAGGATGCACATAGCTTTTAAAAGGCACATCTAAACCATTTTGATGCTCACAATCCAGCCAATAAGGTAAAACTCAAGCACTAAGGCACATACGAAGCACAAAGCTTCCTCCATTATGGGATTTATGAGGGGGCTGATGGAAACATAATTACCCCTGTACTTGTAGAAAGGCTGCCTTCATGGCCCAAACCTGCACATCCAAATCACAATGGAGACAACATTACCACTACTCAAGTCCTATCCTCTAACCAAGTAGTAATTTTTTTTTGGAAAAAAATGAAGAACATCTAGATGGAGTTTGTATAGTTACTTTGAAGTTACCAAAATAGAGATAAAAAAGTTAGTAATCATGTCAACACGCTCAGATACAATGCGTTGTCCTGCATCAGCTAGATAAAATGTTATTGTTAGTCCACAAATTTAATTATTAACTTAAGCCCTTATGCTTAACAAATAAAAAGGTTTGAGTAAAAACAATTAACTAATGCAACTTAGAATCAAACAATTAACTAGTCCAACTTATATGAGAAAGGAGCAGCAGATGAATATCGCTTTGGTTTCTTTGATTCCACCCTTGATAGACAAATTGAGCTTAGATTTTTTGCTATAAAACTATGAGTTTCAAATATATATTTTTCTTACTTAAATAGAAGTTGCAACAATTAATCCAACGTCTCTCTAGCTAAAAATGAAAAAGATCTAGTAAAAAAAGGGTTAATGATAACATTTGCTAAGAATAAAACTTAAGATGCAGCCTCCAAAAAGAGAAGAAAAGCACATTTAAAATTCCTTGGAAAAGATAATTTTGCCATACAAGTTGGGAACAAAACAAAGGATAATGATTGGGAATAAAAAAACATGGGAAATGAAGTCCACAAATATTATGGAAACCTAGGAGAATAACAAGAAAGTTCAAAGTTGTCAATTCTAAAGTATGACATCAGGTAATGCAAATATGAGGTGTGGAAGGCTCATTTGCTACTCAAATTATTACAAGAGAAAAATTAATTGGAAATCATAGATTAAGATAAGCATAAGCAAAGAAAAATCAAAGATGGATGCGAAATATCAAGGATCATAGTGTACTGGAACATAAAAATCTTGAAGAGATTGTATATATCTATCTTAAAATTTTAGCTACTTGTGTTCAATTTAGATGGCTACTTGGATATTCTAGTACCCCAACTGCACATGAATTAAATTTATCTCTCTAATGAGAACCTTCTAAATATGAAATAAAACAGTCACAGTTCAAAGTTACAGTCAATGCATTTCTATTAAATAAGAAATCAAAATACCAAGAAAATATATTTCATATAAATAAGTTATATGGTGGCGTGCATTCCATTAGTTCACTTAACTAAACTTGCAAAGAGCGAAACTAAAAAAGAAAAGCACATATATTCATATGCATAGCATATAGTTACATGGTATAATATCCATTGATATATATACATATGGGATGGAGCTTTCTTCTCCCAAGATGACAATTATCATTCTCCACCAAATTTGATTTTGATATTGTGACCATGAAATGCAATTATTTGAACACCAATAGGATGCAACAAAATACCCGTAATAGATGTCAACAATTGTATAATAACATATTGTGATTTCAAAGTGGAGAGATTTTCAAATGGCTTGGAATCAACTACATGGTATTGCCCAAACAAGGCTCTGGCTGGCATGATCAACAATTAAAAGAGTTATTTTGACATCTCATAGAATCCATAAACATATAGGCCAACATGATATAAATGGTCTAATTTTATTAAACCTGTCATAGATGATCTTGGATAAGTCAGAAACAGGTATTGTTGCCGCTCAAGATCGTTAACAGCCTCTAGTTCGATAGAATAAGTATTTCCATTATTGAGACGCATGCTAATAGCTCCAGTATCATTAGTATGCTCTCTTTTGCATCCAATCACTTCAAAAAATACTCTTGAGTCACCATGCTCCTACATTCCACAGTTTCACAAGTAATTTATATAAAAATCAAATTTTTTAGAAGGTAAGATGAAATTTTATCCTAAAAGTCATTCTACTAAAAAAACCTGCAACAAGCATACCAAAATTTAACCGTGCTAAATATTTAGGGTCATATCACCACCCAATTTCATTTAAAAAACAAATGGAATTAATGGTTTAAACATGCCTCAAATATAAAAATGAAGAACAAGATTCAGAAGGAAAATCTCACAGATTGTGAAGTGTGCTAGGAGAGTCCACGGTAGATGTTTATGGAAAAAGTGACATCGAAGTAAATGGTGGCTGTGCTAAGACCGGTGGTGAGTGCCTTGTAGGCAACATCGCTGACTCCTTTCATCGCTGCATTCATCTGCTGGTTTCTCGCTTTTATCGACCGTACTCAGCACGGGGCTTTGTAGAGCATAATAGAGGTTAGGAAACCTAGATGGATAATTACGAATAGGAATAATAGGGCCTAAAATGTGGGTCTAAATGGGTAGTGTTTTGAGACCTTTTAAAGACGTCAGCCCTTTGAGAAGGCCTGCAAGCCCACATACTGGAACTTCCAAAGCCATAAAATTAACATGCAGATCCTTAATTGCTTTAAATATTTTTACCTTTTAAAAATTTAAAAATACATGAAAATTTTTAATTATATATTATTTTAACACATTTAAATAATTTTTAACTAAATTAAGTCTTATATTATTAATTTTTTTTTTAAATTGATGAAATATGAGAGATTTTAACTATAAATATTTTTTTACTCTATAATTTTAAAATAACGCATATTACGTTTTTGGATATTTATCTTTTAGTTCTTTAATTTCTTCTTTTTTTTTTCTTCAATCTCATTATTTTCAAGCAGCATATGATTATTAAAAAAAAATGATTATTAACAAAGATAGGCTAAATTCATCATCATGACTAATGTTTAATGTCCTATAATTACTAAAACTTATATTTGATTCTTATCATATGCATAATAATAACTAAATGCAAAGATGTTTTCTTATACTTTAAGATAATAACCATAAAAAACTTGTCATATTTTAATTAAAATGTTTTGCTATCAACTGATTAAAATCCAATACTCATTTGCTAGACAACTAATTACATTGAATTCAAATCATATAATTTTATATTTAACTATATTAGAAGTTTATTTTATAACACTGTTTGTGATCAACGCTTATAAATAAAGATTTATCAATCGATGATAAATATCATACAATCTTATTATTGGTGTCGAAACTATAGCTAAGATTCTCCTTATAATATATTTTTGTCCTTGATTACATCTATAGCAAGGACATTTGGTGTCATATGAGATTAATTATATTTTTTGTAAATCAATTTATGTAAAGAATATGTAGAACCTAATCTCCAGATATGATCTTATTGTCTTTATGCATAACATTAAATACAACACTTAAGATTAAACATTCGTTTGAGATAATTTTTCTACAACAACTTTAAGAGAAGCTATTTTCTCCAAACTATTTTATAATCACTTTTATAAAATTTTAAAGTCATCCCTAACGAATTCTAAGTTCTATATATTTTTATATTCAAATTTAAAATAAAAAAAACTATATTATTCAATAAAAAAGCTTTCAACAAGTAAAATAAAAAAGCATTTTCCAGCATTCGGCATTTCCAAACTCGGTTCCAACGTGCAATTGGGTCACAACACGGGGAAATTTTGAAAATGAGAAACGAATCCGGATCCAACAGTGTTATAGTGTCCGTTCAGCCGAGAAAAAAAAAATCTGTATCTCTCTCACCAGTCGTGGAAAGCCAAGTAATCGACGCAGAAGGAAAGAAGATGCGAGATCTATTCGGATCGGCTCGGTGTTCTTTCTCCCCCCCCTCGAATCCCGCAGGAAACGATGGCCGCGGCCCTGGCAGCCGCATTGTGGAAGGGATCAAATAGCGTTTGAAGAAAATGAAGATGGGGTTGGGCCTAAGGTTAGGTTTATCACCCAAAGTCTCTGCATCCCCCAATGCTCTTTCTCCGGAGGAGACAAATGATGATTCCTCTCCGATTCGGTGGAGAAAGCCAAGTAATCGACGCAGAATAAGAAAAGAAGATGTGAGATCTATTTGGATTGGTTCGGCATTCTTTCTCTCTCCGCTCGAATCCCACAGGAAACGATGGCGGCGGCCCTGGCAGCCGCATTTTGGAAAGGATGAGATCGCGTTTGAGAAAATCGAAGATGGGGTTGGGCCTAGGGTTATGTTTATCACCCAAAGTATCTGCATCCCCCAATGCTCTTTCTCCGATGGAGACCAACGATGATGCCTCTCCGATCCGGTGGAGAAAGGGCGAGCTAATTCGCTGCGGCGCCTTTGGCCATGTCTACATGGGGATGAATCTAGATTCTGGGTAGCTTCTCGCTGTAAAGCAGGTCTACTCTTTTATCTCCAGTGCTTATTTTAATTTTGATAAAGATTTATTTCTACGGCTAAGGTGACAGCTGCTTCATTTTCGATTTTGCAGGTTTTGCTCGGGACTAGCAATGCCTCCAAGGAGAAGGTCCATGTTAGATTCTTTCCTTACTTTTTTCTTCAAAAAATGAAATATAACCCTGGTGTTGGTCTTTCCTGAACCTTTGATCCCGTCTTCCGCCTTAACATCTTTCCTTATGTTTGCAGGCTCATATATGGGAATTTGAAGAAGAGGTGAAGCTTCTCAAGAACCTATCACATCTGAATATTGTCGTAAGTTATCTCCTTCTTATCTCTGTTTTGATTTAATTAGTCCTTTTCCCTGTACTTAAAGTCAAAATTACATCTCTTATTTGATGTATTTCCTTCAGAGAGATATTTGGGAACTGGGAGGGAAGAAGATACCTTAAATATATTATTAGAGTTTGTAGCGGGTGGTTCTGTTTCATCACTGCTAGGAAAATTTGGGTCATTCCCTGAAGTTGTATGTGCCATAGTTGCATGTTTGGTTCACATAACTGATAAGTGATAACTAATTGCTAATCCTATTCGGGACCTCTTATGTTTTAAGCAGGTTATAAAAATGTATATCAAGCAGCTATGGCATGGACTGGAATATCATCATAAGAATGGAATTATTCACAGAGATATAAATGTCTATTTACATGGTCTTCTTAGATTATATCTTTGATTTCATTTTACATGTTTAAATGATGGAGTTTTTTCCCAAATCCAGGGTGCAAATTTTCTTGTTGATAATAAAGGATGCATCAAACTTGCAGATTTTGGCGCATCTAAACAAGTGACCAAGCTGGTAAAATAATGCTAGAGGAAACTCTGGCCTCCTCCATCTTCCTATGGACTTATATTCCTTTGTTTTGTTTCTCATTTATAAATCTAATGCTTAAATCTGATTTTACAATGCTATAGCAAGATCTGGGAGCTTGTCTTGATATTGAGTTAGTTAAATAATAACTTTTAAGCAACTTCTATATCATTTAGGTTAACGATGTCATATTCTGGTCGAGTGATATAACTTGTAATTTTTTTTGGGGGGGAAATATAAGTATTAATTAGTGCTCTTGGCCATTGCTATTTAACATGTGTTAATAGAACCATTGAGGGGTATTTATTCTGTTGGAGGCTACTATCTCACTAGAAAATTAAGAAATTTACCTTTGATTTATACATTTTTTTTCGGAATTATCATTATTATTTGATTTATTTATAATGTGAAATTTTCTTTAGGCAACAATGACAGCAGTGAAGTCAATGAATGACACATCTTAATGATGGCTCCAGAAGTAATTCTTCAACATGGCATACCTTGTAAGGATATAAAAGCCCTATGCATGCTCTTTTTCTTTCACATGATTAGGAAAGTACAAAGTAATTGATTGTTAATATGATGTGCCTCTTTTATCTTAAACTTATTCTATTTTCTATTGTCTAGTGATTTGAAAATAGACTTATCATGCATATTTGCATTCAAATCTTACATATGCATGCCAATGTAAATTGTCATTTTTATGTAGAAGGTAATTATATATGTAACATCCAAATATTGCATATTAACAAAACTAATACCCCGCTCCCTCCCTTTCAACAAAATCTCAAATAACACAATAAAATCCTAACCCATATTTTTTCTCTTTAGTTAAATTCTTAATGAGTTGATTGTGGCATGCACGTATGAATGATTTTGATACTTTATTTTTTAGATGTAAATTAATTGTGTGCAATTTAAGAACGATCTTATATTTATATTTATATGTATATTTTTATGTGTGTGTAACATTCAGATCTTGCATATTACTAAAACTAATATCTAACTACCTTCATTTCACCCAAATCTTCAAGAAAGAAATAAAATTGCAAATAATTTTTCTCACTTTCATCAAATTCTCAAATTTGATCATAGCAGGTACAAATACATAGGTCTAAAAGTTCATTTTTTGATGAGATATCATGTATGTAACTAAGAAAAGTCTTCGCTTTAATCAAATTATCAACAAGTTGGTTATGACACGTATAAATACATGAGTTTGATATTTTATTTTTTAGGTAGGATATCATATCTGTAAATAAGAAAGATCTAAGTTATAATACTATTATTTTTTTCAAAAATTAAAATGATGTGTTCATTTGCATTGTAATATGTGAATGTATGCAAAGTAGATTTAAGCAATGATGGTGTACTTGACAACATTAATGGATTGCTTAATTTTTGTGAATAAATTTGTTTGGACAATTCAGTTGTCACAACCAACCAATTGAGCTCAAAAAAATTTGGCGACATTATTGTAAGACAAATTACAATTTGCAACTACCATATAACTATAAAATCACAATATATATTTACATGAGAGCAGCCACAACCTTGTTAATCAATGTAGTTTATTCAGTAATGTGAAACAAAATGTAATTATTATGCATTCAAATTTAAAAAAAAAGCTATTAACTCGGAAGCACAACAAATTTATAATATAATACCTATGCTACTAATCCCAATGCAATAGATAATACTAAGGTTCACTTCTTAAGACAGCCCAACTAATATTTTTAAAAACAATAGTAGAAATGTGCAGGAATTTGCTCATAATATTTTAGTAATAAGGTATTCTTATAAACTTAAATAGTATGGTTGTGGGGATTATGCAAGAATTCTAAAAGACACGATTAAATTAAAGCTCATAGTTGTGAAGGATTTTATGCATAAGTGCAAATGCTGTGTTTTTTGGTATTTGTCATTAATGTCCAAATTTAGAACACTGTGATGCTCATAGTGATAAATTTAAAAACTTTTTTCTCAATGATTAGATAGAACATGGGCCTTATAGGGTACCTTCAAGATTTTGTAATTTCTACTAAGGGTGACCTGGTTGGAAATATAAGGAAAGTAGACTACCAAATTTTTCACATAATACAGCTTCATGCTTTATTCTAAATTTTGGCAAATTTAAGTCTAGTCAGCCATAAAATTGCAATAATCAGGAGTTAGACTTGTTAGTCTTAAAAATGGCTCGAAATATAATGGAGATCCTCTTTTTATTAGATCACTGTACACATATTCATCATTAAATAAGAAATACCCCAATAACATTAATGTTCTCCTAATTTTGATGCTTTACACCAAATGAGATTAAATTACGCCCATTGATCATAAGGGAGTTTATAAACTCACATATATGGACTTTGTTGATCCCATAATTGGATCCATCAATCTCTGAAAGGGTTGTTAAAATATAGAGATTGACAATGTGATAATAATACAAAGATATTTATCAATCCAAAAGAGACATGTAGGGAAATTGATTAAGTGACTCTCTTGATAACTAAAGATCCACAATAAGTAAATAAATTTTCTCTCTTTGTTGTTGTCAAAGTTGAGATCTGCAGGAAATAGATGAGCACCTCTTTCTTACTATGATTATCAAAGGAGATATGATTTTAAAATGGATGAATGGCTCCTCAGTTAATCCTAAAGCACCAAATCCAGCAGATTTTCTCCCTCAAGCTTTTTGATGGGGGCTAAGGATCAAGTGGTCATAGGTAGGAATGCATAAAAGCTATAATTTTGGCTAGCCGTTAGCTTTTTTAATTTGGTTTATAACTACTTGGTAGGAAGCAAAAAATCATAGAAAAGTAAACAAATAGCTTAAAGAGACTAAAATCTAATCAGATGCATTGTCGTGAATTCACAAGGAGGAAATCAAAACGGTTGATAATTTGGGTAACAGATAGATGCAGATTAAATAGGACTAAAATGTTTATTAAGAATTTGTTATTTAAGTATGTCAATAAACTAAATGATTGACATTTGCTAATAATATAATATTAGATCGTTGTAAGTGATACAAACAACTTTGAGGAGTTATGTAGTCATGAATGGTTTTGTTTTATCCAACTTTAACTAGTTGTACTAGTTGGCTTCAGGTTAAGAACATCAGTGAAAGAAGCATGGTCCAATTCCCTGATGGATATATGTGTTTCTTGCTAGATTAGTTTACGATGGAGAAGTTCTAGATTATGGTTTGATGGATACAAGAATGCTATTGAAGAGATGGTTGATTGGGATGGACTTCATGCTCGAAAGAAGCACAAGTGTGCTCCCAGCTTTTCCAGATTGTTAAAAAATTGTATCTTGCAAGATGAAAGATTTATGAAAGAAGTTCTAGGGAATTGCAACATTCCAATGTCAAAGGGGGCTAGCATTATATGGAAGGCAACTCTAGATCGGTTTTCATTAAAGAAATTTGCCTAGAAAAAGTAGCTTTCTTTGTATGAAATAAAGTTTTGTTATTTTGAGTAACCATTTTTATCAGATAGGCCAAGAGTGGGTGGTTTATGGGTGTGGGGTACCGTCATCTAAGAAATATAAAATGTAATTGCACTTCATCCACAACTATAATGTTCCAAAAGTCCGTATTTTTGGGCATTTGGAAAGGGTTTCAACTTGTTAGGCAGAAAAGACTCAATGTTAATCAATCCACCTCTTAGTAGGCTTGGTAGTTTGATATTGATACTCATTTCTATCCTTACATGCACAAGAAACTGAGGGAGAACTAAATGGAATAAATCAACCTCCAGGTCAAGCGATGTCTTTATCGCTTGTATCAGTCCAGGGAAAGTTTAATTTGCAGGGAATATCTTGAGCAATAGAGCAATTTATGTGAAGATTTTTTGGATCCTTGAAGATTAGAGATTAGGTTTATTCATACAACTGGTCATTGTATTGTGGTAAGTAACCATTGTTTGTTGTACTGACTTGGTTTTCTTATCTGACATGTGCAATTAGTTTATGTTTTAACTAAAAGTTTATCATAATCTAGAAGTTCATGACATTTTATCTTCATATTGAAACTCCAGATCTAATATCATTTATGTTCAAAATTAAGGTTCTACTAACCCTGACGCAAAATTGGAGTTTCATGTATCCATAATTTGAGTATAAAATGTAAGAAGGTAAAGCTTTAAAAGCATATCTGTTGAAATGAGAAATAATTAAACCGCATGTGTCTGTTTATACTTGGAGATGACCTTTACAATTTAGTTTATAATTTCTACGTAGTTTGGAATCCGTTGTTGCTACAATTTTTTTTCCTTTTGACTGTTTCCTTTGCTTGAATTGTTGTCAGCGAAGCATTCTGATTTTTAATTTGAAACTTTGATGTAATATGTATTTATGATGTGAAACGTACATTCAAAGATGATTTTTTTATTGAGTTTGCACGCTTAATTTTTAGAGCACAATAACTATATCTTTGCATTGATTTTGAATGACAAAATAAAACATGAGCGGCAAAACAAGCTTAATTGAATTCTTTTGTTAAAATACCAAAGCATGCTAAAGTTTTCTTCTCTTGACTCTAAATTTAATTGAATTCCATTTTCACCTATTGAGTAGTGACTCACCCATGTTGTGGGATACTTTTCAGGAGGATCTAGTAAAGGATAGATGATGGATAGACCTCCCCTCACGTACCGTCGTAGGGAGACGACGGACGACAGGTTTTGTTTTGTTATTTTGATGTTTTGAATAGAAGGATTAGAGATGAAAAGTAAGAACATGATTTTTGGACACCCTTCTACATTTTGTAAACTTAATGTTGAATCTTTATGTTGATGTGTTTGAATGGAAGAAATGAAAGTTTTTATTTGGAGACTCATTAGTCGCTCTTTCATTATGTTTGATTCATGTTTAGAGACATGTTAATTGAGTAATGTGAAGTTTTTTTATTAATTTTGACAGTCCGACTTTCGCTCCCGCCTCGCACTTGCGAGCTAACCGGGCCGGGTCATGACAGATAACAGGAAAAAATAGTATATGTTAACCTACAGAGGCATATATCAGAGGAATACTCATTAAACATGTCTAGCAGAATGCCAAGTTGTGTTCCAAAAGTCTGACCAAACCATCTTATTAGTAATTGATAACTAGAAATTTAATAGTCATCAACTATAGGACTCTAGCAGCTAGCCTGCTTCCTTGATTTGAACTCTTAGTTTCTTAGTGGCAAAATCATCCATTTTAACTCATCAATCCAAAAATTTTGCCACACAACTGTATAAATTACGCAACAAAATGTACTAAAATTGAACTTGCACAGTTAATTATTGATGTAGAACGAGGAGGAGGCTTTGCTAGGGAGAGGATCTCCTCTCCAAAAATCTGACAGCAGGCCTAGGCGAGGCCTTGGGAAATTTCAGCCTTGATGGTGGAGAGAAAAAACTGAGAAGAATCTCAAATTTCGATACCAAACTGATGTATTGCTCAAAATCTGAGAAGAATCTCAGATTTCTCTCTAGAAAATAGAGGAAACAAGCCACCAAAGACCCTTATAGAAAACTGAAATTAGCTTCAGGTTCTTTTATTCAAAACCTGAGAGAAAATTCAGGTTTCAGGAATTAGGAAAAGGTGTTCGGGAGGAACAATGGACTTCACATTCATGTGTGGATTGGTTGCCTGAGAAACGTGGGAAGAGGCTTGGAAAAGGTTTCAGATTTTGGAACCAAAATTTGTTTCCAAAAGCTGCTGAGAAGGGGGAAAGTTATTTCCCAGCTGTCACGTGGAGTTAGGAAATAAATGAGTCCATGGGGGCCTAGGGAACATTCGGCCAGCAAAGGAGGAAAATTGAAGGAATTCAAATAACTGATTCCGTGATTTGAATTAGGAAAATAATAGGGAATAAATTCCAGTAAGCCAGCGAATTGATTTGGGGGCAATAATAGGGAATAAGGCTTAGGAAATTTAAATCATTTCCTAAAACAAAGTGGGGGTTTTAGGAAATAATTTTAAAACCAAACAAGAGGGAACCGGTGGCATTAAGGGACATGGGAGGGATTTAATGATACTATTTAAGGCTTCTTAATTGGGTTTTAGGAATTAGGAAAGTAATAACCCAATCCAATTTAAATTTGAAATTCAAATAGAAGTCATTTAAAACTTTCCAAAATGGAATGACAAATTAGGAAAGATTTCAAATTTCAAATTAGTGGAATTTGAAAATTTGAAAACCGCCCAAAATTAAATCACCCAAATTAAGTTTGAATTACACCATGAATGAGATTCAATACTTTCCTAAAATAGCTTTCTAATTTAGGAAATCATTTGAAATTCAAAATTCGAATTTTAAAAGATGAAAATAATTTCCTAAAGGGTGGCCGACGGTGGAGGAGCTAACGGGGGAAGGTGGCCGGCGGCCAAGAGGGGGTGGGATCGGGTGAAGGTGGCTGGCGGCTAAGGGGAAAATTTTGTGGAGCTTGGTATGGAGGGTTGGCCGAGGGGTTGAGAGGGGAAGAGGAAGAAATATGAAAACGACGACGGGGAGAGATAAGAAGGAAGAAAATAAAACAAAGATAAAACGAAAGCTAGAAAATAAGAACCGCGAGCCTCGGACTCTTCCGAAGACTGACGGGTGATCCGTTGCCCTTCTCCAAGGGACTTCAAATCACGAGCCTGGACCCATGCTGCGGCTGGTGACATCTTCGATTCCTTCCCATAAGAATCTCACTCTCATTCTCTCCCAAGAAGAACACAAAAGTGGAAAACACAAAAATTTTCATATCAACTTCACCACCCTATTACAATAGCTTAAGGCCCTATATATAGGCCACATCATGAGAAAATAAAAAAAATTACAAAAATGCCCCTTGGGCTACAACACTCAAATAAATTAACCTAGGGGTAAAAAAGGAAATAACATAAAATAGAAACTAAAATGCATAAAATAATTCATAAATGACAACTTAAATCAGAGCCGTCGATTTACGACGCTTCCTGTGATAGATGCGCCAAATTTTCGTGTCGATGTCCGCATCAATTATATTCCTAAAGAAATTAATCAGATGATAATATAAAGTTTTAACTTGATTACAAGAAAGGGGATAAACTTGAATGCTTATCTAAAAAATTATTAGTATATAGAAGTTTTTAAAATAGAGATAACTTCTCAGTTTCATTCTTCTTAGAATTGATGATAGAAGGAATTTTTTGAGGCATCTAGTCTCTAGTATAAATCTTGCTAATGTGATGATGTTAGCAAATAAAAGTCATGCAAATATTTTATTGATCAACTTGGGACTTTTGGAGCAGAATGCGAGTATAGAATAGAAAAAAATGAAACCTCGTAAGATTTGAAGCTCTTTGATGCTAAGGAAGCAGCTTGCAAGATCAATAGCCGAAGCATTATCACCTTGGTTTGCATGCATATATATTAAATTTCATAGTTCCATTGTATCTGAGAAAATAGTCTTATATATTCGGGTTTACTGTTAAAGTTAATCTCAATTTTGCTCTCAGTAAGCAACCTAATCCCACCTTGATTAAAATGCACATATAACATTTACAAAATTACCAAAAATAAATCTAAGGTTGGGAGTTTACCTAGTTGATTCAAGAAAAAAAGAAGAATCAGACGGAGGACGTCTTCAAAAAACTTTTTATTAATGAACCATCTCTCTCTTGGCCGTAGAACTTCCACAAGTGGTCTGTATTCTCTATGACCTCTCAGTTGTCTAACAACTCCAACTCTTGCCTAGCTTGCATCACCTACTCTTACAAAACTCTCTCTCTCTCTCTCTGTCTCTCTCTCTCTCTCATTCCTCAATTTATCTCGACTACGAATAAGAACGACACTCCATTCAATTGAGATCCTCGGGAGTCAATTGGGTTTGTTTGTTGAATCTTGCAATTTCACAGATACCTGTTGTGTTAAACAATTCCAACTTCTCACGCTTATATGTCAGCTTTTACTTGTTTCTCCGTGAAGGGTCCCATCCATGTTCAAGGATAAGAAACCTGTATGGAAATTGATTTATGTAACTCAATTGGTAGTTTGCAAAGCTTTGATAATGAAGTATGTCGTTTCTCTTTTTTTAATGGTTGAAATTCAATCCATATTGAAGCGTGAAGCAGACTACACTTTCTATAATGACTAATGAACATTGTAAGAGGTAATGTGCGTAGCTTTTAACATTGCTTTTAGTTTGTATGGTTTTCAGCACATCTTTTTTTTGTTACTGTTACTCATTGCTTTCAACTGTGAATGCTTGATGAACTTTCTTTGGGTATTATCAAAGTTTTTTGGTACTTTGTTGCTACTCTTTGTTTTCGTTGTTTGTTGTATGTTTTGCATTTGTAAACTTGATGGAGTGAATTATTCAGATATTGATGTTGTTTTGTGTTATTTCTGTAGGCAATGTATGAAGGTATTCTTGTAGACATACCATTTGCGACATTCTTCCTCAACAAATTGAAACAAAAGGTTGAAGATCTCTTTAGTCGGACAATTTTACCATTTCATCTCTTTTTCATAGGTTGTTTGTCTTGAAATATGTTGGAAATGAAGGTATTCCTTCTTGTCTGCATGCAAAATTTTTAAGTATTTTTTTAATTTTCTTAACTACTCATTTTTAAGAGTTGAATGAACATTTAAGCAAATTATCGCATCTTGCTCTTGTATAATTATGTTCTTCTCTAGTCTCACTGATGCAAACATCAATATAGGAATTAGTTTATTGATTTTGGCATAGCTTTTAGGATTAGATGTCAAATTAAAGATAAACCCTCGAGTTTTTATGTGGGATTCGGACCAAGAACACTAGAAGGGTAATGCAGAAGTTCTTAACATTCAATTCGATGTGGCCAAGTGTGATAAGTTGGATATTTGGTAAAACAATAAATATAAAGTGAGAAATGATCATATTAAATATATGATGGGAGCAGCCTGTAGTTAAAATAATATGTGAAAATAGGCCTGTAATTTGAATGTGTACACCACAAAGAAGAACATAAACCTACGAAATAGCTGTCTAGACATGATGTTGAAGCATTTGTGAAGGAAAATCTGACTACCAAATATGACTTATTAGTGGTGTCAAATAAGTCCAACTTCTCATGTAGCATTAAACAATAATGAATGGGGGAGAATTTACAAAGCTAGCCATAACTAGTTGGGATAAAGATAGTGGTTATGACTAGAATTCATCAGTAGTTATCGTTCTAATTTTGAACTTCATTTTCATTTTTTTGTTAGTCCACAGTCGTTCAAAAGAATTTGTGAAGAATTGGCTTAGAGCCTCATATAACAAACGCTCAACAGAAATAAGTGGATAACTAGAATTCATAAGGTTGATCGCCAACGGTTGGGATAGGGCAAATTATGATGATGATGATCCCTAATCTTGAAGATTTTCTTGGAATATGGTGGATAAGATGGAAAGGAAACTTGTTTTGGACAAGTGTGGGTAGCTATAATGCACAAATACGGGCATATCACGAAACGGATATGAGACACATCAATTATTGAATTATAGAACACAGATACGGTTTGGGCATGATATTATTTTTTTATATCTTAAAAATATTGTATATAAATTGAATAAGCAAACTTTAAGAATAAATGAAAAAATAATAAGTCAGTTAACTAGGATTTGTATTTTAATTGATTAATAATAGGATGTCTATAGTCAGGCGTCATACATCAAGGCATCGAGAGGAGAGATGATAATATTGTTGAGAGTCGAGCTTTGATGTTGTGCGATGGGCATGGGGAATTCGACATCAATGTCAAGACTGTGTAGATCATTAAGATCTAGATGGCGTCAATCATTGATGAGATGTCGTTGGACATATATGAGATGTCGAGATGGTGTGGGGACGTGATTGTTGTTGTAAAAATTGCTTAAGTTGAGCGTCAATGTAAGGTGTCATGAAACTTTGATATTGAGATGATTTTGAAATGGTGAGGTAAAATCGGTCTTTGTTGCGAAACCATAGTCCTAACCCATATCATAACCCTTGCTGTTGCTAAAATGAAGAGTTTGTTAGCTGTTAATTATAGTTTTTTTTTGTGTATTCTCATTGTTATCTTATCTTAGACATCTTTAGTAAATCCTACACCCTTAAGCATCCTATAACAAATACCTATGCATGATCTACAATTTGTTCCAACGTCATGAGAAACTGTACTGATAATCTCCGATGAAATTTGTTGTTCTTTCATCCAACAATGATACTTTGTTTGTTGGTTTGACCTTCCACATTCGGATGACTCATGTATGTCACCTAAAAACCTCCAGTGAATCTCTCCTAATTTCTTAAATTATTACTGTCTGAAGGACATGTTTATCAAACCTAAAGGATTTGATGAACTATTTACAAATTTTATGTCAGGAGTTCTACATTTTATTAATGGTTGATAACTACATTAACCATTTAAGGACTAAAATCTTATTAACTGATGTTATTGAAGGTGTGTTGATATGGTTCTCTAAATTGGTTTGGGCGGGGTGATGATGACCACACGTTTGCTGTAAGTTTAGCAACACATTAGTTCTTGATCCTATCGATGTGGAGGATAAATGGGTAGGTTACTGTTAGGATTCCAAAATTTTTTGGGAAAGCATGTTTGCTTTAATGAGGAGCATATTTTACGGTAAGTTAAATGTGGCAGCAGAATTGTTGCTGTATGGAGGATAAACTGGTAGGTTATTGTTAGGACCAAAATTTTTTGAGAAAACATGTTTGCTTTAATGAGGAGCATATTTTATGTTAAGCTAAATGCAGCAGCAGAATCGCATGGAACAACTCCCCAACCCAAAATTTTTTTTTCTGAGAAAAACATTATTCTTTTCAAGCATTTTATATCTTATAAATTTCATCCTCATTTTTTATTGACCGAGATTTAAAATAAATTTAAACTAATTAAAAAAGATGCTGAGCTAATTTAACTCACAATCATTCGAAAATGTGTTAGGATCCTTCTAAAATGATGCTATCTGAGGGTTTCTTATCTTTACAATTTTACTATAAGTATGTACCGATTAGGATGCATTCTTAGTAAGAGTGCTGAATTGTTTTCACTTGGGTAATTAAAAATCGTTAGGTTCATGATTAAGCATATAGTTAGATTGTTTATAATGCATACTGTTTCATTTTTGTTAACTAATGAAGTTTCTGTCATATTAGACACAACTTTCTGAATGACTTGCCTTCACTCGATCCCGAATTGTATCGCCATCTTCTCTTTCTAAAGGTGATTTTTTTTAAATGATCTCTTTATTCTTTTTTTTTTTTCATTTTCTCTGAACATGTTTAACTCCTCAAGTCCGTCACTAGCAGCAATTTATATGCTATTAGTTAGACACTGCATTTTACGTTTAATGAATTCATGTTATGTGTTGAGAAGCAACATCCTGGAAACTATTTTTTGTGCTTCTACATCATACTTGCATTTTTTCCGATAATGCTTAATTTCATTTTTTACTGATCTCTGCAATGTTTTTTTTCACAAATTTTTGATAAGTGTTGCACAGGGAGAGAGAGAGAGAGTTGAATATCTGCATTTGCATTAAAATGAAATAAAACTAGTTACAAGTAAACTTTCAAATATAAACTATACCCTATCACTCTCCTCCCTCAACATAGACAACAATGTCGAGGGGAACTCTTCATTATTCACATCATAAAAAGTAAAACTACCAAATAAAGCTAACTGGGCACAGTAATCCGCCGGGCTATTGCTATCCTGAGGAATATAACGAAAGAAAACCTGTTTACTCCATAAAAAAGGAGAGGTTTGGTCCATCTACACTGAAATGCACCTTGTTCCGGCGATCATTCAAGTTTTGCATCCACCTAATAGCATTAATGCAATCTCCTTCAATGATAATACCTTCAAGCTCAAACATCCAATCAAGGAGAACATCCCTAATAGCATCCGCTGCTCTAATTTCAGCATGCATGACATCCCAATGCTCCATCTTCCTTCCAGCTGCCACAATCAACGCCCCAACATGGTTCCGTGCAATAATTCCCAATCCGACTTGATTAGAAGGCTTTAAAGAAGCATCCACATTAAATTTTAGCTAACCTGGAGGGGGGGGGGGGATTTACCACAGTTATTGAGAAGGCAGCCCAAGGGGTTGATTGGTACTCCATTGCTCCAGAATTTGCCATTTGAAAGTTTTCGGTAAAAGAGAAAGCACCGCAGCAGCAATAACAGTTGGGGACCTGCACATATGTCTATGCTTCATATCATTTCTAGCTCTCCACACCTGATAGACCGTGTAGCAGTATATGCGTCCATGTAGGGATTCCTATCAACAAGCTAAACAATACTGATGTCAATTTGATAAAAGACTGCACTATGGGCAGAACAATGCCCCATTTAGCCAAAATAGTGATCACCTGCTTCAATTTCACACAATGGATAGTGCAGTGATCTAGAATTTCTTCCAAATTACATCCGCACGGACAAAGAGCAGTATCAGATAATTTCCTACACCATAACCAATGAGCAGTCGAAATAGCATCCCTCACCAATCTCCACAAAAAAAAAAAATTCTCACGAGGATGCAATTTCAGTTTTTTAAACCAGCTAAATTGGTACTTATCCCTCCCAAATTTAGCCCTATACGCCATGGTAGCGGTCGTCATCTCCATTATGGAGTGGATAAGCTCAGGCTTATCAACAATATCCCCATTGGAAATTTCAATAGCAGAAATACGATCTGCCATAATACTCCCGAAGCAATACTCAAGCATATTCTTATTCTACTGAAATGAAGAATTCAAGACATTACACACCTGAGAGTTTTCCACCTCTTCCACATTGACAAACGTAGGTCACATAGCAAGATTACGGTCTAAAATCCAAATATCCTGAAGTACATTAATTTGTTGACCATTCCCCACCTTCCATCTCAATATAGGCCTAAGAGCACTAGCTCCATCCTGGATCACTCTCCAGGTGACCGAGATATTGCTTCCATGCGATTTGTCCCAAAAGCTCATCCCAAGTAGCTCCCCCCTGGTTCTTCTTGGAGAAGACAATGAAAGCCAAGTCCCCCCTGGTTCACTAGCTCCATCATGGATCACTCTCCAGGTGACCGAGATATTGCTTCCATGCGATTTGCCCCAAATGCTCATCCCAAGTAGCCCCCCTGGTTCTTCTTGGAGAAGACAATGAAAGCCAAGTCCCCCCTGGTTCTTCAGTTTACATAGTTCCTGCTAGTTAACATAATGCATACCTCTACTATTTGCGTCTTTCTGCCAAAGAAATTGTCTGCTCAATTTCTCAATAGAGTTTAGCACTCCATTAGGAATAGTGGTATGGGTCATCAGATACATAGGAACTGATAATAGCGACGTATTAATCAGTAAAGCTCTACCCGCCATCGAGAGCTGTTTCTTCCCCCACATATTCGTCTTCTCGTGTGCAAATTTAATAATCTTCGTAAAGTCAGCTAGAACAAGCTTTCTCATCACCAAGGGGAGTCCAAGATTCTCCAAGGAGTTCACCTTTCTATACCCCATCAGCTTTGCCATCATCCTCTTCTTCCAAGTAGGACATCTCTTGTTAAAGAGGATAGCAGACTTCCCACAGTTAATCCTCTGACCTGTCGAATCACAATAATCATCCAACACCCCCATAATGCGAATGGCG